ATATCAATGTTAATTATTACCCCACCTCTATGAAAAAGTCTTCTATCATCTCTCCTACACAGATGAAAGAACCAAGGTAGTATCTATTCTACAGATGGGACTGAAGCCCAGTGGTTAGGGGCATAAGTTCACCAAGTAAAGGAATAGAAATGACAGGTTTGCTTGTCTCTAAGGCCATTGATTATTTATTTTGCCTTATGAAAGAGGTGTTCTCTGCCTCTGAATCAACCCATATTCCATTTGCTCCTTCATCATCTGAGACTTAAGTCATATTTATAATAACAACTTATCCTTATTCCTTGAAACTGTGTTCTATTTTCTTTTATCTGTCCAGAGCTAATGCCACTTACCCTTGAACTTTTATTTCTATGTGCCATTAAAATCTCCCTGGTCTCGGGTTGATGACTGAAGATGAATTGGAGAAATAGGTCAATTAACTGTGGAATCAAGGTGCTAGCTGGGTCACAGGAGAGGCCATTTAATTTTGCAAGATGGACCGTTAACTGGAAGGAGAGATGTGCCAGATACTGTAGAAGGTGGAAGAGAATTGTGGAAATTATTTGTAACAGTAATTAATTTTAAATTATATCATCTTGATATATGCACCAAGTAAAAACATAATTTAGAAGATTATATATATTTAAGTTGAATACACATATACATGGGATGATTATAATTACTACTGTTGAAAACTGAGAATCTATATAGGATTTCTTCTGGCACTTAATGACATAGGTATTGATAATTGTTATATACCAAGAAGTAGCAAGTCAATGAAAAAGTATTTATAAAGTTGATCTAGGTATATATTTTTATTAAAATGCCCCAAAGTTTTTTTTTTTTTCAACGTTTATTTATTTTTGGGACAGAGAGAGACAGAGCATGAACGGGCGAGGGGCAGAGAGAGAGGGAGACACAGAATCGGAAACAGGCTCCAGGCTCTGAGCCATCACCCCAGAGCCCGACGCGGGGCTCGAACTCACGGACCGCGAGATCGTGACCTGGCTGAAGTCGGACGCTTAACCGACTGCGCCACCCAGGCGCCCCAAAATGCCCCAAAGTTTTAAAGTTTGTTTGTGGGATATTATCCTTGACATGTTAAATTATTGTGTAAGGGTACTGTTTCTCACAAAAGTATTTAAAATCGTTGTTTAAAAATTGAAGTATTTGCTAACAAATATTTTTCATTTATAAAAGCAGACTTTATAAATGCCTATGTGATTCCAAAATTATTTTTTTCTTCTTTTGGTCACATAGTTAAATATGTGAAGAAAGCTCATCTTGTATCAATTAGAATATTCTCCTTTTTTTTTTGCCTCATTTCAAATATTTAAGAAAGATGCATGAAGAAATCAGTATTTTTTCTTTGAAGTCTTTTTGTTAGAGAAAGTGAATTACAAACATCTATTCCATTGTTTTATAACTGAACATTTGACCAACTTTTCAGTGGTACTTTCATTTTCCTTGCTTATATCTTACATTACCAAGTACCCAAGTCAATAAATCTTTTTCTTGGATGTACCTTGTTTTTGGATGATCTAAACTAATGCTTATTGTAGGGGCAATTCATTAAAAGTTTAAGACATTATTTTCACTATGTGATTCAATAAATCATAAAAAGGTGATAAAAAGGTTCTGTTCCAATTGGATCAAATAACAAGATTGTAATCAGGGGTTTACAGTTGGCTGAGAGTTAGATCTAAGACAAGCCACTCGTGATTCTTCTCTCCTACAAAGTTGGGATAATAAAGTTGCCCTACTTCATATAAGGAGAATTGAATGAGAACACAACAATACCTTGAACGTTATACAGTGATATAAAAAATGTAATATTACTATCACTAAGCAGTAAGTAGCTTTAGTAAGGCTTTATAATGCTCTATACTTCTGCTTACATTCATTTCATTAAATATTACAATATTAAATTATAAAACAATTCAATATTTTATAGTTTGTACTTAGATTTAATATGTACTGCTACAAATCAGTTAACTTCATGAAAATGTATAAACATTTCCTTCACACAAGTTCAAGAATGTTACTTCTTAGTAATGAATACAGAGCTACCTGATATAACATGATTTTAACAAATTTTGTCTAGTGACAAAGGGGAGCTTAGGAAGAAACCAGTATGGAAACAATTACAAATTATATTCCATTCTCCAATGAGGGGAGTAGGGTATGTTACATTTTGAATAATTAGAGATTTTGTAATCTAGGGAATTTGTTGTTGTCTGTCTTGTAAATTCTAGAGAGGCTAACAATAACATAAAAGAGAAACCTTAATCAATCATGGCACGTATCTCAAGTAAGTGACTAGACTATTATCTTGGTCAAAATATAATAATCTTGGATATTTACTCAAACTCTTCTGAATAAATATCATTTTATAACTTTAAGAATTCAATATACTCTTTGACAGTACACTTTTTCATATGGATGCCAGTTTTTATTTCTGATACTGTATTAATATTCACTAAGTAATAATTTAACCTATTTCCTCGGCCAAATAAAATACAACTAATTTCAATAACCAACCATTAGGGTCAAAAGTAACATAAAAAGAAAATGAGCAATATTTCTGAAATTGGTAGATGACAATATGCACATTTGAAACATAAGATTTTTTTTTTTTACCACTTTTAGCCAGTGTATAAATTCAAGTAAAATTTATGGAATGGTACAGAGAGACCCATATTAATTTGTTGAAATTTATCAGCAATTTAAAAACACTGAAAGAAAAAAAATATTTCAGGACTAATGAAAGTGTCATTCTTTTACTGAAATTCAAGGATGGAAACCTCCTAAAAATTGAGGTGTAACAAAAAATACCCTAAAATGGAAATGATGCCTGATTTTAGACACACAACTTAGTCTAAAACAGTGCAAGCCTTTCTGGAATTAGTCATCAACAAAACGATTGAAACATTAAGAACCGAGATACACAAATGACAGGGACTTTTTTTTTTTTTTAATGTATTTACTTGAGGCCTAATGCTTTAGTGAGATTTACAAAGAGAAGATGAAGTTGAGACTTCAAATTACCCAAATTGGAAGGACTTAAATACATTTATGAAAACTTGTGCTTAGGTACTGTATAAAATACAGTGTGTCTGTAATATAATGTTTAGATTAAGAGAAATAAAATACCTTCTTGTGTTATGTGAGAAAAGACTTGACAGTTTAATATAATGGTGGTGTTCCGTTGACAATTTCAAGAGGCAGCTAAGCCTCCTCATTTTCTTGACTTTTTCTTTTTTGTTTTGTTTTATCATTATTATTATTATTGTTATTATTATTATTATTTTTACACAGGAGTCTCTGCCTGTCAACTATGTGCACTAACCTCACCTGTATCATTGTTTAGCCCTGAAGCCCTCCATCTAGGGTATCCATTGAATAAACGAAGGCTTCATATTTTAATGCCATCTTTGATGATGTCTTGTTTGTGGGCCACCTTGTTAATTAGCAATGTTGGAACCTGCGTCCGAGTGGACTAATGCTAGACGAGTTGGGCGATGCTGAAAGCAGGTGACGTATAAGGGAAGATTTCATTTGAACTGTGTTAGACCAGCATGAGGAAGCTGTCTTCTCCCAGCCACTCACGTGTGGAATTCCGAATTCTGCAAAAGCAAGATTGGTTCAACTAGAAAGGAGATTATGGCATAAAGATTAGTTCAAAAATACTGTGGGAATACTGCCCATTGCTATGACTCCAGCTAAGTAAAGACAAAAGAGGTCAACATGAAGAGGGAAGATAGGGAGGGTGAACAAAATGGGGAGGGGGTAGAGAGAAGCGGAGTGAATGACACCATGTGCCAGTGATGAGAATGTAGGGTGCAAACAGAGGGCAATAAACCAAAATCAGGGAAAAAATAAACAAACCCAACACTTTCTCGGTAGTGGGGCATTTTATTTTTGCTTATGAACTCTATAATTTATTTGGAATACCTGTTCCCATAATGAAAGCATTTATTTTCACACCTCTCTTTCATTCTTTTTTCTGCTCTTCTTTTGCTTTATCTGGGCACATTTCTCATGTATGTCAATTCCCAGACTGCATGTCACTTATCTATCTTCTGAAGCTCTCCGTGCTCTCTTGAAATTCATCCCTTCCCCTGTGATCTCACAGCACTTTTATCCTCTGTTTGCATTTGGCACTCATCACATGGTGACCTGGTTCTTTCCAACAGTGATTTATTGAGCTTCTTCCCCATGCCAGCCATCATGATAGGAACTGGGGGTAGAGATAAGTTAGATACAGACCCTGTGCTCAAGTAGCTTACAGTCTAGAAAGGGATGGGGGTGTAAACAAAGGAACTACACCTTTGTGATAAGTGTGGCAACAAAAAGTATAGACGAGGCACAGATTTAGTGCAGAGAAGGTGGTTAATTTCATCTAGAGATGGAAGGATCAAGAAAGACTTGCCAAATAGCATCAATGAGTATGTGTGGTAAGGTGTAAAATATCCTCATCGCCTACCAGTGCCTAGTACATAGTAGGCAGAAAAGATCTACCAACATAAATTAATTGCACAGGTAGGAGTCTGGGTCTAAAGTTCAAAGGGTCTAGAAGCCTAATTTCTTTATATCTGAAATCATCTTTTTGTTTGGTTGGGTTCCATTTGGTGCCTCTCCTTTTGCTTGTGTGTGCTTGCATGTTTGAAATTAAAACCAAGCTGTTTTCTTTGGGCTGGCTGACTGTGAAAATGGCCATACCATTCCTGTGGCTTCAAAGATTCATCATAGGTCCTCTTAGTATATTAACTTTATTTTTTTATGTTTGTTTATTTTTGAGAAAGAGAGAGAGAGAGACATAGTGCAAGTGGGGCGGGGGCAGGGGCAGAGAGAGAGGGAGACGCAGACTATGAGGCAGGCTCCAGGCTCTGAGCTGTCCTTACAGAGCCCGATGCGGGGCTCAAACTCATGAACCGCAGAATCATGATCTGATCTGAAGTCAGACCTTTAAACCAACTGAGCCACGCAGACGCCCCAGTATATTAACTTTAAAAAAGTATGTGTCTTTAATTAACTAGTGCAAGAAAATTGTTAGAAAGCAGATAAACTAATAGGCTTTTGCAGACTTTGTGAAAAACAATGTTTTCCTTTTTATGGAAACACGTATTTTGCAAACATTAACAATGAATTTGGATAATTATTACAGCTTTAAAATAAAAAGCATGGATGCCTTTGGCATTAGGCCAGTTTATATCTAACACATGATAACACCATAAGATGATGTTGAATCTTGTTTGTTAAGTTTGTCTTTGAAGACATCACAATGGATAATTTCCATTAAAGTTTGAATGCAAATTGTGTTTTAAAAATGAACTCATAAAACAAAGCTTTTAAAATGTTATACTGATCACTTCATATTGATGAAATGCTTGCTTATGACCTTAAGGATAGGCAATTTCAGTAACAACTGTTGGCCATCCTTGTCGATCCTGAATGAAACCAAACTGAGCATGATAATGACACATTATAGAATTTCATCCCTATATTTCCTCTTTTAGGCATGACATAAAAAATAACAATATTTAACTTAAAGGGCATAAAAATGAACATCATCACCATAAATATAGAACTCAGTTTACAGATGACTAGAACGGAGAAATCTGCTAGCTGATTATGTAGCAACCTGACTCTGGTTCTCAGCATTTTCTAAACTTATGTTCCTTGACACCATATGCTACAGGGAACAGTAAAGACATCTGAATTCAAATATTTTGAAGAAATGTGTATTTAGCAACTGAATACATGCTAAAAGGAATAATTTACAGCAGCAGTTTCATTACATTTTTCTCTCCAGTTTTCTAGTTCCCATCTGAAATGCAGTGATAAATACAGATATGGAACATATTTACTACCTGGCAAAAAACATGCTTATTGAATGGGCACACACCCTCCGTCCTTAAATAGCACATAAACCACCTTGTCACCTGTGTGGGGAAATCTTGCATTTTAGGGTGATATTGAACACACTGAAATGGAGTCCCTATAAAAAGTTGAAGTTTACTGTCCTTCCTCTTCTTTTCAAAATTATTTACATCTCTTCTGCCTAATGTATAGGTAGCAAAAATATTAAACACATACCATTGAAAATCACTAAATAATACATAAAGTAGCATTAAGTGTGCATTTACATGCATTTACATTATACATTTGATTTCAACTGGGCCATCATTTCTCTGCTGCGATGTACCTTTTTCCAATCTTAAGAGTGCTGTCATAACTTGCTTATGTTCACATGAGTGTCTTAACAAACTTTCAACTCTGATGATACATGCATATGCCAAAGTCTATTAAAATTAAATTAAGTGGGACGTTGATTATTTTTCGTGCAAACTGTCCCCTCTTAATACACACTGGCAGATTATGACTGTAATAAGAGCTATCTACCTGCAAGTTATATCAATAATTTTCTTCGAAAACTTAGACCTGATAGTTTATAAAGACATGCAAGTAGATTTCCTTGTTTTGTTTCTTTTCTTTGACGTCTAAACTTACTTTCTCTGGGTATTTCATAATGCTTAACAAAATGCGTTCGGATATTGGAAGGCATCCCCTCCATCCCTTCAAGTCCATTATTTTTGAGGACTACTATGAAATAAGATACTTCTGTTATTGCAAATCTGTTTCAGTTGAAAATTTAGAAGGAAATGCGACACCAAATTTTAGCACAGTTAAGATACTCCATGAAAATAGAAAAAAAATACCTATTTTTGGAGCCCTCTTTGTTCTTTGATTTGTATTTCAAACGTTGCTTTTTCTCTACAGAAATATGTCCTTCAAATAATTTAAAATTCAAATACTGTTTAAGGATGTACTTCTGTAAGTAACACCGGATTAATCAATGGAGCCTAAAATTGAATGTAGAATATTTTTAGACTTTCATTTGAAATAGGCATTAACAAATTGTTTATTCAGACAACTAAATTGAAACATGAGCTCCCATCTGTGAAATATTTCAGCTGAGATTTTTTTTTAAAAAATTCACTGTAGTCTGAGGTGAGAAATTAATGCTGAGTTAATTAGAATCCCAAGACAGCTAGAGTTAGAATTTCAATGCCGCTTTCATTAATTAGCAAGAAGATGTTTCCTTTGCAGTTTTGTGCATGATGAAGAATCTAGGGAGGGATTCCTGGAAAGGTGAGTGCAGTGCAAAAGAAACTATCATAATGCGGAAGGCCTTATAAACCTTGAAGTCAATGATTCTCAAGGAATCATGTTAGGACAAGGGACGAGGCAAGTCCTTTATTGAACATCTTTTACCTTATTTTATAAGTTGTTGGAGTAAACAAAAAGCTTTACATGACTTAAGTGTGAGTTGTGTCCCAGAAAACAGTTTGCATAAAAGTCACTCCCATCAACATGAAATGAATCAAGATGATCTGTTTTAAAACAGATCATTGCTTTAAACAAGGTGAGGTAAGAGACAGCTAATACAGATGTAAACAGAGTTGGAAAATTTGCTTTTAAGATGTTGTTCTGAATATTACTGATCTCTTTCAAGAAAATTAAGTGACACAAATGTAATTCCTAAAGGAATAATGAGAGTTTTTATGTCTCAAATATCATGCGGGTTTTCAAGCACAAAATTAAGAGATTTTCTGTTAATGCTATATTAAAACAATGCTTATTATTTTCATGAAATACGCAGTTCCTTTTCTCCCTATTGAACCATTAGGTGCAACACAATGCATTGAACAAATCAAAATTGTTTCTCCTTTTTCTTCTGGTTAAATGTTCTGTTTTTTCTAAGAACATTATGCAAGTTAAAATTAATTTTGATCATGCTTAAAGAAGGGGGGTGTTATCTGTTTGACTTCCTCAGAGAAATAAAGCATAATTTATGTCCAGGTTTTAGGAATCAACTGTTAATGATGTTTATGTGTTTCTTGAACAATATCGGCTATCCCTCTTGCAGAACTAAAAACACAATGTCAGGGGGAAAAAAGCAGCACACAATTGGAATTTGTAAAACAAAAACTATAGAGCACAATAACTATAAGACAAAAACCTACTCTAGCTTAGAAAAGAGCTAATTTTTACTGCATATTTGTCATGGTACATTTAAATTATAGTTTTAATAAAATACATCTTTAGATCAAAGCTGAAAGAAGACATCAGTAGTAGATCAGTGTATTCCATTTTTCCTCTGGATGATGGATGGTTTATGTTTTTTTATATTTCCACAGACCATTTCATTCAGTCTCATTTTACTCCTCCAGTACATATAAACACAAGTGCTGGTAGACAAAAAATATCCTTGAATCCAACTATATTTTGGAATATTCATCAGCTTCATAAATCCATGCAGTTTATTTTAGACTTTTAGTTCAATAAAATGGCTTTGCTGATGCAGTTTTTCTTCTTTAGATGGCAATATGGCAAATGACATTTTTATTTCTCAGGCAAAGAAGAAAGGGAAACCTGTACAATGAAATCTCTTAGGAAACATTAAGTCTGCTAAAGTGAACCTCTGCGTTCACCTGACCTCTATTAGGTGTTGGTATTAGGAGGAAAGTCTGTTAGGAAAGTTACTCATGGACTTAATTTATAATTGGTGGAACTCAGTTGCATTTCCCACCATTGTAAACATCCACATAATGCCATGAAAAAAGTTCATGTATATTGCATTTTTTCCAGTTATTGTCTAGGCAAGTTTCTACTTGTTTGAGGTTTCTAGAGGTAATGCAGCTCAGACACTCCTGGGTGCCCTCTCAAATTCGTGGGTCCGCCTGTTTCTACCTTTCTTGTTTTCCTGCAAGTGCTTCCATTTGTTATTGTTCCCCTGGGCATGTCCTGGCCTTTGCCGACGTTGTTTTCGGTCCCTTTTCCACACTTGTTCACAGAACTCATCCATTGTGTTCAGATTGGGGTGGTTGATGAGCTGCATGAAGTCTCTGTACCAGACCTTCTGGCTAGGTGTCATGCTGTTGGACATTTCTTTGGTCTTAGAGCCATCTCCATCATCATCTTTATGAAGAAGCTCTTCCAAATGCTCTGTGTCGATGACTTCCAGGGTCACTTTCAGAAGAGTTTGCATGAAACCATGTTCCACAGCATGGCAGAGGTAATTGCCTGAATCCTTCCGCTGTAGGCTACGCAGTAGAAGGCCTTGTTCTGTCCTGATGATGTGATCATCCACTCTGATCTGGCAGAAGAAAACGGTAGTAAAAATATACACATTTAAAAGAAACAGAAGTTCTAAAATACTGTCTCAGTAAAAACTTAGATTATGTGTTGAGGCACATTTTAAAGTTGATAAAATTTCGAGCTGAAGAGAGATGATACCATTTCCCCATCAGAAAAAGAGTTAGAAATTTCTGTAAATTGTTTTTAAGATACAATGGAAAATATTGGTTATCTACTATCTTAATAGAAGTTTTCATTATAGTAATTTAAGATATTCAAGATAATGAAAGGACACAGATATACTTTATTTTATAAACTTGAAAGAAGGTATATAAATATAGGAGAAAGTTAACATTAAATCTTGGAAATACAGAACCATGATATTAGAAAACAGGACAGCATGAGAATGAACTCAGAAGATTTGAAAAAAATTAAGAATCAGCAGCAGTTGAGCAAGAAGAAAAATGCATAGGAGTACATGCTTAATAATTATTTATTCAGTTTTCTAAGTCTCAGGTGTGTCATAAATATAAAGATATGCTCTTGAATGTACCTAACCTTACTTTTATTTTGAATACGGTTTACAACAGACATCTCGGAAAGGCCTAAGCTGATAGTGTATAAAATTGTATAAAATCAACTTCGACGTTTGTAGGGTGTGATTACATATTCAACGATGCTTCAAATGTCAAAAAAGGGAGGGTTTTATATTCAGATTATGTTTGTAAAATTATTTTCACAGAATACATTCACAAATACCTACACAGTCCGATTAGTTACCCTTATTTAATATTTTTTAAAAGCTTAAAAGGCTCAGAATATGGAGATTTTCTCTGTACGATTCTTTAATTTCACACAGGAATAAATGAATCAATCCATTGATGAGGAAGATCTGTCTGATGCTTCACGTATAGTTCATACTTCATGTATAGTTCATACTCTTTATCCTAAAACTCCTAGCCCCGTTCCAAAACCTCTCCTCCTCATTTGAGAAGAAAGTCAGTAGAGAAAATAAAACATGTTTGGATAACAGAATTAATTGAACAAAAGTTAAAATTAGTAGAGGATTTCTTTCTTTCTTTCTTTCTTTCTTTCTTTCTTTCTTTCTTTCTTTCTTTCTTTCTTTCTTTCTTTCTTTTTTTGGTACAAAAATATAGATAACATACTTTCTTTGTAGATAACTACATGGAAAAAGAAGACTCTCAAATATATCTCCAAATGGATTCTGGGACAAATTCTTATCAGCTCACCTTTGTTTCTCCGGTTCCTAGCACAAAGCCTGTCATATGATCAGCCTTCAGTGAATGCTTGTTTAATGAATGGACTATTGATGGGTTAAGAAAAGGATAAAGATTCACAGTATTTTTTTCACCCTCAAGTCAACCATGTTGGGGTCACTTAACAGTATATGTTAGATAGAAATAATCCAGTCAATTTCATTCCTATACCTCTTCTTTTCGCTCTTCATTTCTCCTCTGGAATTGCCAATAGACCAGAGCTCGCTGTGATTTTGGACTGCATTCCAGGAACGTGCTACTATTTTCTACTCCATAGATGATTCTTTCTTCAAGGCTGTGGCCATGGTGATTATCTGGCCAGTGATGAGGAAATGAAATGAGGAAATGTTAGAGAAGTAAACTCAACCTTCCAAAGTATTTATTTGGAAATTCAGAAGATAAATTTGTTGCCAAGTTGGAAGTCTTTTCCAAATTGATTTAGGATGGCAGAAATGTCATGGACGTACGGTTTCAGAACCCAAGTGGCTGCTTAAACAGACTCATTATTTTGGTATAGCTTATACAAAGCACATGCAGAGATTTGCCTACCAGAAAGTAGCATTACGTTAACAAAACCAGTCATGTGTGCAGTATAACTATACATCTTTATATGCCATGGTAATACTATCCAAGAAATTATTTTAACTATAAAACTCTATGCTCTGACTAATGGGGCCAGTTCATAGTGTACTATTCTCTAGCAGAAGTTACTTGACTGAGATTTTGGAAACAAGAATCTGTTGCTGAGAAATTATTTTGCCTCTTTGTGTTTGTTTTTCATCTGTAAAATTAACTTCACCAGCCATTGATATTTACCTAGTATTTTACAGAAGGTAGAGTTCAGGAAGTTTATACTCCCCACCACTAACCCTTAAGTAATCAACATGGTTTTTCTGAAGATCAATGGGTGTGAAATGTTTGGGATGGCTCAGAAGAAAGATGCACAATTATAAAGCAATGTGGTTTCAATTGTCCTTATTTTAAAATGATACATCTTTTATTATTTTCAAGAATTAGGCTAAAGAATATGGCAAGAATATATAATAAAATGTAGCAGTAAGAAAACCTGTTTCCTGATTAAGTTTCTATTATTTTACCCTTTATGTAACCTCCTTCAATGTGGTAAATGAAACACAGTTAAGATCAAAAGTGGGACACAGGGAGTCTAGGTAAAACTCATTTAGAGAGAGAAAAAAAAAAACCCTCCTTATTATCTTATATAATCCTGTTTCCATTATGACATCCTGTACAATCTGGAACTCATTAAATTAATACAGAAAATAATAAATATATTTTCACATGCATGGAGGGTTGACAGCATAGACAGATGAAAAATTTTTGCTCTTTACTTCAAACTCAACTAGGTTTTTAATTAAAAAAAATGTTTCCCCCTTTTTCTGGCATCACTTTGTTCTAATTAACTGAGTACTTTGGTCTGTCACAGACAATATGATTTGCTCTCACTAGGTGTAGAGCTTTCCAAAATCCTGCTTCCACCCGATCCCTGTACACAGCTTGTGTCCTCCACCCCCTATTCTCACCCTGCCACAGTTGACATTCTACCTCCATTTGCTCTCTCCAGGGAGGTCAATATTAGCGCTTGCTTTTCTATCACTCTGAATTGTGAAATGAGGCTCTTCTAAACTTGGGAAGTATCTGTCCCTTCTTATTTAACAGATCAATACCCTGGAAAAAGGAAATGAAAAGGAACAACAATATTTAACTGATTCTAAGTCACAGTATTTTTTATATTGGAGCTATATCTTTGTATGTCAATATCTACATGGAATATGGCCGTGTTTTTATTCCCCCCCCCCCCCCGGAATTATTAGTACATTGTTGAATGAATAGATATGTCACATGTTGCTATGCTAATCTGCAGGGTATGTGCTTCCCTGGACAGAGGTGAATTGAATCTCTCTGCCTAACAGGGGCTGGACAATCTCCTGTGATACCATATTTAGAAAACCTTGTCACAGACGTCAATACAGTTTACAATGGACACATTTTTTTTTTTCCTGATAACTGCCATGCAGTTTAACCTTTGATTTAGAAATCCTTTTATTTGGAATATTACTCAGCCTTTAAAAAAAGAAGGTCTGCAATCAGTAACAACATGGATGAATCTTAGGGAATGCTAAGTGAAATAAGCTAGTCACAGAAGAACAAGTACTATGTGATGATCCCACCTATACCAAAGATCTAAAAGAGTCAAACTCCTAAAAGCAGATGGTAGAGTGGTGGGGGCCAGGGGCCAGGGCCAAAGGGAAATGGGTAGGTGTCAGTCAATGGGTATAAAGTTTCAGTTATGCAAGAGGAGTACGATCTTGAGATCTGCTGTACAACAGTGTGCCTATAGTGAAAAATATTGTACTGCACACTTAAAAACTTCAAAGGGTGGGTCGCATGTTAAGCATTCTTACTCCAATAAAATAAAATTTAAAAAGCCTTAATTTAAAAAAATCCATTTAGGCAGAGACTTTTTATTTAATCTCTACATATTAATGAATCATAAAATATATGCCAGCTTGATAACAGTAAAAAGTCCACTGTATTGGGGTGCACAGGTGGCTCAGTCAATTAAGCATCATACTCTTGGTTTTGGGTCAGGTCATGATCTCACAGTCCATGGGTTCAAACTCCTTGTCGGGCTGTGAGCTGGCTGCATGGAGTCTACGTGGCATTTTCTCTCCCGCTCTCTCTGTCTCTCTCTCTTTGAACCTCCCCCACTCATGCTGTCTCTGTTTATCTCAAAATAAATAAATAAAGTTGATTTTTTTTAATCCACTAAATTTAGAAACAAACAACATAGTGATCCACTAGTATCTTTTGCCTTACCCAGGCCCACTTTACTTGTAGAACTTTAGGAAATAACTGACTTGTCTCTCACCTAAGTTACCATCAAGAGCTGTAAGAAGTCTTATGGTGTACATAAGTTCTTGCTTACAAACATAAAACTCCCTTTAAATCTTTAACACATTAGTTGACACACAGTTAAGAGAATGTAACTTGTATAATAAGAAATGAGAGTTTACTATAAATGTAACATCAATTAGGTATATTTTCAAAAATTCCTTCTATTGAAAAAAAACCATTTCATTTCACCTGCTACTTACATATAGTAGCATCTAATATAAGATGACATTTGATTTAATCAAGAACTTATACCAAGTTGTTTTGAGTTTAACATAGCAGTAGCTCCTGGCCTTCTCTTCAAGAAACACGGCACTTTTCCATCTGAATAACTGACAGACCACAACTGGTGAATTTGGTTCACTGACTAGGTATCTTTAGTTTGCCCTGATAACCACTTGTGCCAATACCTGTAGGACTCATTCCTCCTTTAAATTGGCCTTTCTTTCTTTCCTTTGCCCAAATAAAAAAGCAGAAGGAAGTATTCTAGTTAGTAAGCACTGAGGTTACAAGTTCTGCCACATCAACCACCCATCATCGTCAGTATGCAGAGGTACCACCACGTTTCTTTGGGTTGACATTCTCGTAGGTTTTGTTAGGTTCTGCTGCCATTAGGAACAGTTGCAAAAACTCAATTTCCACTGAGTACAGTTGTTTCTATTAATTCCTCTGCAGCAGAATATTTCTATCATCAGCAGCTTTTAACTTAGGGCCAGAACTTTTAGCTAAAGTGGCCTCAGGGGGTTCCTGGGTGGCTCAGTCAGCTGACGAGCTCTTGATTTTGGTACAGGTCATGATCTCACTGTTTGTGGGATCAAGTCCCACATGGGGCTCTGCACTGACAACACGGAGACTGCTTAGGCTTGCTTTCTTGCTTTCTTCCTCCTCCCCCACCCCATGAATAAACTTAAAAATAAATAAATAAATAAATAAATAAATAAATAAATAAATAAATAAATAAA